TACATTTTACCACAATGCCTCGCGAACCTAACACAGCCCAAAAGGCACAAAGAAAGCCTTATAATTACAATATTTGTCCCTGTACTAAGGATATTAAGTAGCCTAGGTTTGAAGATTTTATGACGTTTCTGTACGTTTTTATGAACGTTGTTTAGGTTTTCGTGCGCTAAGAACTATGGGTAAATGTAACATTCCCATCTTTTTTCCTACGGAGGATTAGCGCGAACGTCCTTAATGGGGTTGAACTGTATTTAGCAGACTTTTCGGGTCTGGCACTTCTTCAGTGTCTTATTCCTCGTGTCCAATCAGAAATTGCAAGACCATTGCAAAAGCTATCAGCTATTATCATCAGGATACGTCGTGTTGCTTAGCAACATCCCAACTGAAAAATGGCGGACTCTGATTCCTTGAGATGTTTATCTTATCAGTATATTTTTCCAGGACTGTCACCAAGCAATGTTAATTCTTACAATCCTCATTAGAGCTACTGCATGTCAAGATGCTACAAAAAAATTGCTTCCTGTCGGCACACGGTATTGTAATGATGTAGTCTGACATTTCACGCTGTTAGAATAGGAACTGAATTTAAATTTTATCTCGCGCTTGCATTTATAAATTAGTTCACACTAAATTCCACTGAGGCTAGGACTGCACTGCCTGTAAGTGTGGAGTTATGAATTTAAAATATATTCACCTTCATTCGGGTGCAAATTTCGTAGTCTGCTGGTGTAATTTCTGCTGAACTCTTCATGTGTTATTGTGTGGCAAACATCAATCACTGGTAGAGATGTGTATTCCATTTGCACCGTCAGGGAAGCAGGTTTGAAAGATGATTTCTCCAACACTTTTTCACTAGATAAAAGACAACAAAGAATGATCACACCCATGTTACCTCGCTATCAACGACATATATTCTTCCATCATGATCACCACACTGGTCAGAGGAATAAAGTGAAGTACTGTCTTGCTTAGAAGTTCAGTTTACTTTTAGCCAGTAATTCGACGCTTCTCGGTGCTGTCATTAATCTCCCACGAAAAGGACGCCTGTGATTCATGCTGAGGATGTCTTAACTGATGTGAACAATCAAACTCCTTGTAGTATTGCCATTACCCAAGCAGGAACAATGCAAGGAGTGGCTTTCTATTGTTTGTATAAAACTAAACACGCAATGATCAAACAGCTTGTCACTGCACCAGCAGGTACGGTTTAAACTACTCAGTGTGCTTGTAACCGGTCGAAAGCGCGGGAAATGTCTCGTGAGTCACTTCACGATTGGTTAGGTTGCCACCGCCTGATTGGCCGAAAATACACAATCCTCATTCTGACTGGTTAATCAAGTGATCGTGCTGCAACACATCAGTCGTTGTTTACTTACTGTAGAGGATTACTCTCCAAGCAAAAATTCGAAAGCAGCAGCACATGCTCAGCCACAGTGTACTTGGTGCCGAGTTTTCGTCTTCCTTTGAGCTTGATTACAAGCTGAAAACAATTGGCAGCATTTGTCATTTGTGTAAGCGCGTGCTCAGAGGCAGAATGTCAACCGAACAAGGTAGTACTTATAAGCTGAACAAGACAAGATTTTGGCAAGACTGAGGATAGTCGATATAATGTCACTTCAAAAGACAAAAACTGCAACACTATTTTAACTTCTTTAACCGGCTAAACGCGACAGCGGTTTGCGATTTCTAATAATCTTAGTTTAGTTTAGTTTAGCTTCTCTCCGATGCTTTTTCAAACGTTTCTTGTAGCTAACCTTAGCATGTGGAAGATGGGTAATTAGACTTGCTGACTGTGGTCAATAATCAATAACACATGCATGTATAATTTATTTTTTTCTCCACACTCCCCCACATTTACCTACACGACCTGTATCTCATTAAACCAGTTCTTCCATCCTTATCTTATTAACTCAAAGCAGATGAATTCATGAATAAATTGATCTATTCATCCGAGGTATACTACTTAAATCATGGAAAATATAAATAATGTGTCTTGCCATGTACAGTCCAGTATGAAACCATGTTGATATATACTTCACCTTGTCTGCATGTAGGTTATATACCAGAAGAGACACGTGATCAGTCCAAGGATCATCTCCCATCACCTCCCTAGTGTATTGCTTTTGACCGTTAATCTTCACAGAGCACCAGTACGGGTCATCTGCCACAGACACAAGTCATGTGAAAGAGGTTCGAAACTACCCGAAAGTTACAATATAAAGGTGAAGGTAATATTTATATAAATATGCTGAGAGATCAAATAATCTTAGAAAATTTGCCTCACTTTTTTAATGTTTTTGTTTTGTGAACTCTGTGAATTTGGTCTTACATGAAGTCACTAACTCCTACCAGCCTGGACTCTATCGTACAGTGACGTCACCAATTTGCATGCCGTCGACTCCCCTTCCCAGGCTTCGCGCAGTCAGCGAAACAAAAGAGAACGCGGCCAGTTTTGAGCTCTTAATTACTTGATATGATTAGTTTTACTCTCATTACCATTTTGGTCTACAATGTTTTGATATTGTATGGAGAAATTACCCGTTGATGGCTCTTGCGGTTGCCCTTATTAGGGATACAACACTGTACAGATTTCTCACCTGTTAATTTTCCGTGAGACCCTCCACTGATAGTCAAAGTAAGCACACCACATGCTAATAAACGAAATACAAAAAAAATTTGACACTTTTTTTTTGTTTTTGTTGTTGTTCAATTCATTCAGTTAGGTGAAATGCTTACTGGGGAATTTCTTTAAAGGTTATTATGTGGAGACGGAGCAGATGATAAGTATTTCATGGGAGCTCCGCTTTTAGGCTTGGCTAAATCTATGTATTACATATATACTTAGTTTGGGTCAAAGGAAGATTTACTAAAGCGGCCCGAGTATTGGTGTTCCCTTCTCAACTCTAAAGAATGAATTTTGTATGTTACATGTAACGTTTTTTTTTGGTATACTTTGTAACTGTAATCACTTATAACGTAGACATTTCATTCCAAGACCAAAACAATTGGTTAAACGAATAGCCCTTTTCACGGTTAATTTTTCTCATTTACATTACAATGTAATCCAACGTGGATGCGAGGCAATTTCGGGCAAAAACTACAAAATAGCCCGAAATTGCCTCACATACATGCTAGATTTTATTGTAATGCAAATGAGCAAAGGTAACCGTGAAAAGGGCTATTCTAGCTCCTTTAAGGCCGACAGAAGCCGGAGATAGGAAGCCAGGGAGAGACTGTTACCAGGAATCTCTCGGGGCCTTAACTCTGTGTCATTCTCAGCCCCTAAACTGCAAACGTTTTTTAGTGCTCTTCTTTGATAAGAAGCAAATAGTTGTAACAAGTGCTAATTTAGTTTTCCAGATGACTCACCATACGCCGCTCCTCTTCCTACAACTTCAGGATCGTTACAAAAAGGAATTGTTACGTGACCAGGATCTACCAGAGCTGAAGGTAAGAATAAGATCTTTGAGCTGAGACATGTTAACGCGCTTATCAACTCCATGTAACACGCTTATCAACTCATTGTCACATTTCTTATGATATAAATTAATTACAAGAGAAGATCAAGTTAAGATTACCTTGGTCTTTTCCTGTTAATTACAAATGTAACAAAAAATTAAAAGGCTTTGTAGAGGTCAGTAGGCTGACCACTTCTTTGTTGTTAAACTTTTGACCAGTGCCAGTTATGAAATCATGGAAATACAGAGTTATATCACCTAATTTGAGGGAATCATGGACCATTTGTGTTATCCACTGCCTTAGTAGAGGAACCTCCATTAGTTGCACTGCCTTTAGGAAACGAATGTCGAATGATACTTGTGGTCTAAAACAAACGGTAACAAGACGGGTTCATTAATCATTGTTATTATATGGCTTGTTCTTGTAGCCGATGTAACGTGCGCTCAGGTTGGCTAATTGTAGTGCATTATTCTCCCGTAATGCCCACGGGCCGATCACCGGCTTGCTAAAACAAAGCAAAAAGCCGTATAATAAACAACTTATTAACCTCGAACGTTTGGTCTTTACGGGAAAATCTCAAATCGGTCAATACGGCAAGGTCTCAGTCTGAGATTTTCCGTAAAGACCTAACTCTTGGTTAATAAGTAGTTATTGTTTTTTCTATCATTTCTCGACATTGTCAAGGTTGTCATCTTAAGTATATGTCATGTTGTGTAGCAATATTCAAGTCGAAAACAGCACTTTTAATCTATATTCTTGGAGCCGCATGTTCGAGCAACAAGGCTATAGTTCATGTTCAACCTTCAGCTTTATTATTAGTCCTTGTCATAAATTTTTCTTACTCCTCGGTGAAACATAAGGACACTGCTGCCACGTGAGGAAACGGAATGTTTCGATTGAACAACAACACCAGCTGAATGTTGCCGTGGATGTGAAGATCTTCTATTGCAACATCTGTGTATGTACCGAGAAACCTGCAGAATGGCAAAATGGGTTCAGTTAGGTTGCGTGAAACAGCTTTCTCAGACTCATTAATCAGATTCATCAAGTTTAAACAAAGTAAATCATGACCGTGACGGGGTTTGAATATCTGATCTTAAGTAGGATAGATTTTAACGATTTTTTTTTCTCCGTTTTCTTCTCAGTTTTAGTCTTGGTTGAGAAGATATATCAAACACGAATACTGTGTTAGACCACATTTTCAAACACCGAAAAGAAAGTTGAAAATACGACGCGTAGCGGAGTATTGTTGACGAACTTCGAGGTGATGTGAAGTATATATGAATAATTCCACTTTCACCTTCCTTGCTTGCTTGCTTGCTTGCTTGCTTGCTTGCTTGCTTGCTTGCTTGCTTGCTTGCT